ACCTGTCGCATATGGGCAAAGAAATCGGAATTGAGCTGCAGTGTAAACAAAAAAGTCTTAAGTATTCTTACGTATGTCTGGACCTTTGAAAACTGAGGACCCCCTATATCTAACTTGATCTTGCAGTATATTGAAGCATCCAAGCTGACATTTTCTGTTGCAGTTTCCCGTCAAGGTCAAATGGAGGCAGTCTGCAGTTACTTGGCACTGCCTTCGAATGTGTTCCAACTTTTCCAGGAGCACAAAGACACTGTGGCACCACTGCTGCATAGGTGGGTGTTTAATTTTTGCAATCATGTTTTGTCTGTCAACATAAATGATGAAATAAACTTTTTTTTTTTTTGCTTTAAGGTGGTGCAGCAGCCCAGCAATAACCAAACATCTGAAAGGCATAACTCAAACAGTCAGGTAATTTATTTGCTTTTTAACTTTGAGCCACGTTAGAAACTTCCTATTCAGTCAGCAAGTTCTTGTTGAACAGATACCCAAGGAGAAGAAATCAACTGATCGACCTCCCAGAGGACTATAGCGCTCTGCTCAATCAAGCCAGCCATTTTCAGTATGTGCAGCACACTTCCTTCATTCCAAAGGAAATTTTTGGCTTTCGAGGACTCAATCTTGTGTGCTTGCCCTCAGGTGTCCCAAGTCCGCAGATGACGAAAGGAAACATCCCACTTTGTGCCTATTCTGTGGCGCCATGCTGTGCTCTCAGAGCTCCTGCTGCTTCAGTCAGCTGAATGGAGAAGATGTGGGCGCCTGCACCGCACATGCCGCCACCTGTGGTGCAGGAGTGGGCATGTTCCTCAGGTGAGTTTCAAGACCCAAATATTAATTGTTCCTTCAATGTACCCACAATTTTGTCGTGTAATATCATTTCTACCTCCTGTCAGGATAAGAGAGTGTGAAATTGTACTGATGGCCAGTAAGACCAGAGGAAGCACATATCCCGCTCCTTATTTGGATGACTATGGCGAGACTGATCCTCATCTCGGGTAAGAATCTCTATTTGGTTCTTGTGTTTGCTGTCATAATAATAATAATGTTAAGAATA